CACAATGTTTTGTGGTACTTCAAAACTCTATGCATGAATAATTCTCATAAAGATTTATGTATAATGATATATACATTGAAGTACTATTGATAATCGTCGCGGAAACAAAATGCACATTATATTTTCACAAAGTTTCTTCTTTTTGTATTTTTAAAACGTGATTTCGAAGCACGGATGAACTCTCGTTTTCGTTATACTGTCAGTATTCTTTAACTCAATAGCCCGGAAAATTATTGTCAGTATAAATAATTAATCTAGCGGAAATAATGATTATACCGAGAAAAAAATATCTTCTGTCTGTAATATTTGTATTTATTCATTTTTCAATAATATCAAAAAAAAGAAATATGGATGATAATATTCGTGAAATTAAATTTATCTTCTTATTAATATTTCAACTTTTATCTTTATTCTGTACAATTCATATATTTTATCAATTTATTAAAGACCGTTCACTGTATCGACAACTACATAATCATGTTATTCTACTTCTACTAATAGAGACTGTATTTTCTAATACATTTGATCTATCAGCTACATTAGATTATCTATACTTAGGTAAGTATGAAAACAATTTTAGATCCATTGTGTCAAAATATTTACTGTGTATGTAGATCTCATCTAAACCAACACAAAAGTGTGAATAAAATTTTTTAGAAACGTTTTACTCCTGTACTATAGATATCGCAATGGAATTATTCATGCATAGAGTTTTGAAGTACCACAAAAAATTTTGTTTACCTTTAGCTACTCCATTACTGTTGTAGGTTTTATTTCTGGAATTCACAGCAACTTTTTGAGTACATGAGCACTACGGTAGAAGACTCTATATGCTTCGACTGGAGTATGGCTCCTACAATGTTTTCGGTTACAAATTCAAATCCAAATAACAATTACTTTTCTATTATCGACGCCAAAATACAGTGCAGGTTGCCATTTTTTCAATAGCGCAATAACAACGTATGATAGAAGGTTGCCGTTTTCAGCAATCGAAAACAGATACCTGAAAATGATATTTTAAAAAGTTTTTGAAACCGGTTTTTGAGTAGATCTTTGAAAAAGCAGTTTGGATCTCTGAGAACTAACACAGAAATAGGTCGATCTCGTTTGATAGACAGATAGTCCAAAGTGTCCTCTCCAAAACAGAAAGGAAGCGAACTTTTAGTTTTTTGTGGTTTAGGCGTGGCACCGGGTTGCCTGAGAGTTCCAGAATCACTATTTCTTTAGACGTGGTAATTCCGAAAATGAATGCAAACATAGGTGATCGACCACGCTGCATCTCGCAGCAATATTTGCTTTTCAAAAAGGTTTCAAAAACATAGTGCTATATTAGATGCCCATTTTGGCCTATTTTTGAATAAACTTAAAATTTCATAATTCGGTCAATATCCATCCAAGTTATGTCAGAGTATCAACATGTACTCTATTTTACCTGCTCTATATGTGTTTTTACTTGTGAATAGTAAAAAACATTCTTGTACTTCGAAAGGTCTCTAGACAACCTTTTAAAAATCTAAAGTATTTCTTGTTGATATTTAAGGCCTTTTTTGTACTGCATATTATTGAGCAGGTGAAATAGAGTACATGTTGATAGTCTGACATAATTTGGATGGATATTGACCGAATTATGAATTTTTGTCTATCAAACGAGATCGACCTATTTCTGTGTTAGTTCTCAGAGATCCAAACTGCTTTTTCAAAGATCTACGCAAAAACCGATTTCACAACTTTTTAAAATATCATTTTCAGGTATCTGTTTTCGATTGCTGAAAACGGCAACCTTCTATCGTACGTTGTTATTAAGCTATTAAAAAAATGGCAACCTGCACTGTATTTTGGCGCCGATAATAATTAACTATGCAACAGTTTTCAATAAAATTTTCATCGCAGACGTATCGCAGTACGAAGTATGTAGTATAAATAAAACCTAGCTCAGAAGTTCATCGTACCAATAAAAAATAATTGGAGTCTCCCGTTAAAAACCGTGAGTCACTTTTCTACCGACAGTGGTCTAAAGATTTGGTATTTCAGAAACTAATGTTAAATTTTTATATAAAAATTATTTATCACCCTTAAATTGGATATTTCAGAAAAATTCTGAACATATCTCAGCAGTGATACAGTCGACTGTCACTAGAAAAGTATGTTTTGGAGTTGCGAGAAATATGTTAGTCTTTTCGCGAATGGCATCGATGTACTTTTTCCTGAGGCAATTTGTATTATCAGTTTAAATTCGTTTTTATCTTCAGGTTATGTTCGTATTCAAAATCCACAATACTGTCTGTTTTGGAATTGGTACAGTTATTCCTTCGCTACTGTTAATCTATTTCTTATGGCATTTGCATCTTTAGAACGTCATTTATTAATATTTTACAATCCAATTATAACTAAATATCGTCGTTGTCTACATTACACACCATTATGTTTCTGCTTTGTATATCCATTTAGTTTCTATCTATATGCAATGTATATTTATCCCTGTGAAAATAATTTCACTTATAGGGCTTTTTGTGTATCATGTGGTCATATTTTTCGCTAATTTTACCCCCTTCTTCACTTGTGGACAAACGTTACTGTCTCACATCCCATCCATGTCTTCAAAAAATGTTTTAAGTGTCAAAACTTAAGCGTCGTTGTTGGAAGAGACATAGCGTTCTGCTCAGGTCTGAGCGGCTTTAAGCTCTTTTCGAATTTTTATCCGATTTTGTACAATCTTATTGAAAACTCGAGACAATGCATTTGTATATAGACGTGACAGCCGATAAGTCGCCGCCGAACGCGGGCTAAAAGTACGGGTCCCTCAGCCTGTAAATTTGAAAAAAAACATCCGCGATATTTTCGCCTACTTTTCTCTGAATCAAATACACAAGTTTGTTTCCCTTAGTGTGTAAGATCCGTGAAATATGTAATCACGGGCTCTTCAACCTAGAAGCTGTCAGTCAGCTCCGTAATTTTTACTCCATATTGCACAGAGCTGACTGACAGCTTCCAGGTTGAAAAGCCCGTGATCACATATTTCACGGATCTTACACAATAAGGGAACAAACTTTTATATGTAATTCGGAGAAAAGTAGGTGAAAACTTCACGAACTTTTCTTTTTTCAAATGTGCAGTGCAGCCGCCGACCCCAGTGAAAAATTTTGAGAAGTTTTGTAGTTGCTTTTTGTAGAAAGATTGCACTTAAGTAAAGTCGGAGCGAGAGATTTACGGAAGTAACTGTCTCTGATGGGCGTGTGATCTGTATAATAATGCAATTATTTAATATCTGTATCGATGTAGTGTTATTATCTGCGATCTAATTAGTTCCTCAATCAGTCAATCATATTCATCTCTGTTCTCAAAGTAGAGTCAAGAAAATGTTGGAAAAGAAAGAACATTTCTTTTAACTCTCGATTCTTATCGCCTTTTGGAAACAAGGTAACGCTCGTCTGCACTCGCTCGGTCCGTTGACTTTAGGACTTTATATCTGGGAACGACCTTTCATGACTCAGAATCCGAAAACAACGCCTCCCTTCGGTTGATGTTCGCTAGGGGACTATCTAAAATAGGTTAATATTTTTCCTTTCATTTCAATTGTATGCTTTGTAATCTAATGTAAATCTTTAAAGTTTTCTCTAGACTCTCCAAAGATCCTCGGAGATCTAAAAATATTTCTGAATTCAGGACAATGCTCATATTCAGGTTGCATCAAAGCCTGAAGTCGCATTACATCGCCAAATAGACAACCAGAAGATGTTACCAGATTTCAAATAATATGGATGCTTTGGTAATCCAAAAAAACGCTATACGAGCTGGGAAATTACGCTGGATGACTGAATCTTAATAAAAGTGATTTATGTACCTTCCTGCATTTGGAAAGGAGCATAATAGGTGACATCTTCTCTGGACTTTTTCTCACCCTCCAGTTCCATCAAAGGCACTTTCTGAACACGTTTTCACTAACTTACGACCTAATGATCACGCCTCCCGTCGGTCGGCACTCAGGATAACTGAGAAATGTTGTCAACTCTAATTCCACAGAAAAAGCGCACAATGTAATATAACGCTAAAAGTTTTTCTGGTCATCCTCTGAAGGTCCGAAGGGAGAGCTACAAGTATTTCTGGTGGATTTGCCATGATAAATTATCTATATTCTGTAACTCTTATTATCCGTAGATGATCTTTTTTGTGTTATCAAAACTGACTGATTTTTGGCTAGATCTATCTCAGAACTACCGAAAAGGTTTGCTTAACTTTTTTTCTCTCTACATCAGTAAATATTATTTCAGCCATCTCTTTGAATATTTTCTCTCTTGTGCTCGGCTTATCCATAGAATATCTGAGAGCTATTTTTCCGTACTTTGCGCATACACACACGCGGACAACTATTTTGCAAAATCCTAGACTAATGAAGTCAAAGGGCTTATGAATCTAAAATTGTAAGATTTGCTGAACTAGATAACAACTACCCTGCGGTCAGATTGGAAGGCCGATCCAGTGAAACGTTTGTCAGAGACACTTCAAACACCGTTTGAGATTTTGTGAAGGAATGCTGTTTGATATATGGTGGTCAGACGCCGCCTCAGACCTAATGATCGGCTGACACCTCTATTTGTATAGATTGATCTCTAGTGAAACCTGCTGTATTTATTGTCTTCTTTCTTTCAAAGTGATTCTGCCTGTTCAAATTTTCAAGCATACTTCCATAGCATAGGTGAAAAGCCAAGTTCAGTTATACAACTAATGTCTTACCATTCAAGGATTATTGTTTTATTGAAAATCGATTTTAAATAATCAAATAATCGATCATACGGTCATTTCTCTTCTACCCTACTCTCTGGTTTTTCACGAGATATTTGAACTACCTCTATGATAATATTCTATGCTCTTCACCATGTTATCTCTATACGAATACAGCTTTATCGTCATATGATTGGCTAATAAATACATTTTCTCCATGTATTTTTATTGCTTTGGCTAATATATGCCTACTTCTTCGTGTCCTATTGCAAAAGAAAAAGATGAAACGACAAGTAACATGGGAAAAATATCGTAAAATGATTGTTCAACTATTAACATTTGCTTTAATTTATTTAATATTTGTCTTACCCACTATTGTTATTGGTCTGATTCAGACTTATTGGTTCCCGACATTTCTTGATGATATTCAGTTTTCTTTATTATTTTATCTCTATTATTATCTTTATGTATTAACACCAATTGCTTATTTAATTTCATTTCCACGATTACTTAAAAAGCTTATCCCCCCTTATGGTGATTGTCGAGTTGATCGTCTGGGGCGAAGAATTCTACCAACAGTAAATACAATTGAACAGATACAGTAAAACATAATATGATCTTTAACATGTCTGATTCCTTTTTACAAACAAATAAGAACACATAAATCGCGAACATATCCACCATGTACTCAGAAAGTTGTCTCGTCAGTGAACAGTATCTAAATACAAAAATAAGTCAGCATACAGAGGAAAAAACAGTAAACCTCCGTTAGTTACTCGACTTTTATTATAAAAAACCAAGCGTTTTCAGTCATGTTGGTTGGATGATGAAAGTCTTGTTTAAAATTCAAATTCGAATTGTTTTTCAAAATTTGTTTACCAGAATGAACTCACTAGCTGTCTATGTAAGTTTCGAAGCTAGGGAAAGTACATGCAATGGAAATTTTTTCGAAATACAAAATTGCTCTTGTAATTTCGAGCAAGCAAAAATAGACGGTTTTGTCTAAAAACTTTTTTCTAACAAAATGAATGATTTTGATACAGCATGTTCGAATCTATATGTTGTGTCGTTGCCAATTATTTTCAGACAGTTTGTATGAAGCACTGGAAGATGAACAAGCGAACTCGAACAAAAAATTGATATAAATGATAATTATTCATTTTTAATAAACACAGCTTTAACAGAAGGATGAAAAAAACCTTGCTTTGATGCTGCAAAAAAACAATAATGATTCTTGCTACTCTTCTTCTAGCTCATCTGATTCTTTTTTTCCTAGAATAACTTTAAAATAATAAGTTAGTATTTAATTTTAGCAATAAGAACAATGATTATAACGTCATACTAACATTATCAATTTTTACCATAGAAGAAAGATTACAAAGAGGAAAAAGAGTTCTATATTGGGCAATAGAGATTCTTCTTACATACATAAAGGTATTAAAATTTTGTCAAAAGTTGAAGCAGATATGAACGTATTTTTACCACAAGCAATAAGTTCAGCTTCAACTAATGAAATTTTGTTTTTATTTTGTTCAAGTATTTCTCAATCTGCATCAAAATTTGTGTTTATGCACACAATTTTGTTAAGGGAAAAAATCCGTCATTCTAAGAAGTAACAGAAGTAATTTATATTTTTTCAGTATTCAACGATGTAAAATAAAGTAAATTACAAATAAAAATATCAGTAGCACTCCAATTTTGAATTTCTTCTAAACTCAAACCATATCGGTATTGAATCAATATGCCAAAAGTGAATTTGTTGTAAATGATTTACTTAAGCAGATCTGAGGCATATCAAAAGGAACAATTATTATCGATAAGATTGCTCGTGATCGGTTGGCTTATTGATAGCCCAACTAATGACGATCCATATCATTGCAGAATAAATAGCAGATCCATAGTCCTTAAGTAAGATGGTGAAGTGGATCTGGATCGATGCGCCGATCAATAGACCAATTTATAAGCCGGTCACAAGAAATCTTTTATCTATGATAATTGTTCCTTCTGATAGACCTGTCCAGATCATTTTTTCGTATTTGATTATCATTTCAACAGCGAAGAAATTCTTTTTCTATGGAGTCATAAAATATAAGTAAATATCGCTTGATCGATGTCAGATAAGTCGTTGTACACTTGAAGGCTTATCAATTTCTGGATATTGTTATCATAAGAACTATCGTGATTGAGATTAATTATTCCCTTTTTATCCATAGCTACGTAATTAATCCATCATATTCCAATACTTTAGCTGTAATAAAATATTCAAATTTAGCATATACCAACATTTTTAATTTCTCGTTCTCTCCTGTTTCAACTAGTATATATAGTCATCTTTCTTCTAAATTTGACCCTGTCTTCCACAGAAAATAAAAGAAAACAAAAATGTCTACGTATCCACTAGTTTTTGTCATCTCGAAAGTCATCTGTCCCGCGTCCGTTCGGTCAGCATTGATACCGAATTTTTTTTTTTTTGTGTCTGTAAATGAAAAAAAATACATTTTCTCTTACTGATAAACAACAACATCTCTCTTCTAAATTCGACAGTCGTATTAGCCTGATGATGGAACTGTGAAGTATCGAAAGTTCGCTTCTTATGTAAAACCATTTTACAAAAATGTTTTTCAATTATTTTAAATATACTCAGTTTTATAAAAAACGTAAAAAGGTCAAACAATGTCAATATACCAATATTTTTCACCATCAGCATATGTTAAATTAATATGAGTTGAATGAATAATGGTGAAATTCAAGCTGCTGATGATAATATTCAACGTTCAGATATATCTAGTTCGAACGACGAAAGTAAAGATACAACTAAGATTATAATATTAGGTTCTACATACAGTATTTATAATGATGAAAACAAAACAATGTAATTACGCTTAGAAGCAATGAAAAACGTCTGTTGATAGTTTAGTGGCGTTCGAGCTGAGACTAAATCGAGTCCATTCATTGTAAATTTCAAGTGTTCATAGGTTTGTACATTTCTTCGGCATAGTTTTATTTTATCAAACTATTTCAACATTTATTATCGCAAGGTGTGCATACTATAAAAGTAAAGAAAAATGTTTTTCTTAATTTAGCATTTCGAGCTAATTAAGAAAATGTATTTTTTAACTTTTAAAAATATATTTTTGACGGTGAAAAATTGAAAATATTTAAAGGACCTAAAAAGTCGAAAAATCCTTCAAGTTCAAAAAAAGCTCAATATCTGAATTCCAGCTAGCTATACAAATTTCAACATACCTTTTTCTTATTCAGCACTGAATAAAAAGATGACGTTTGATCATGATGTTTCGAAGATAAAAGCTTGCTCAGCATGGACTACCCAAAAGTGTGGACAAGGACTTTTGTAAGCCTATCTACTGTTTTGTGTTAGCGGCTGAAGCCTTCGTGCGCACGATATTAGATCCGCTGAAAGCTTGGCTTTAAAAATATGACTCGCTTTTTCTAAAATTTTGTTTCGTTGTGAAGAAAATTCATTTTTTCTAAATCAGCGGCGACAAAGTTGGAATTCCACCCGTAATTCTCAATTTTCTCGATCAGAACTCAACTTTAGAAAAAACATTTAGTCCATTTATTGGTAATAGCAGGCACTTGAATAGGGAATGAACTTGGGCGCGGGCGGGGAAACAATTTTCTATGTCTCGCGCAGCGAAAATTTTTTTTTTTGGAGGTGTGTAAGAAAAAGATTTTTCGCTGCATGATCACAAAAATACAAAAAAGTTTTTTAGTTCCCGTGGGAAAACATGAAAAACTTTTATTTTTCGGGGGTGTACATCCCCATAAAATTTATTGG